GATGCTAGAGCAGGCAAGATGCCTTCCTGTGTACCGCCCCCCCGCCCTCTCCTGCCCAAAGAGAACCTCGAGCCCCAAATCTCTGCTCCTCATTGTTGCCACTGTTTCAATTTACGAAACCTACAGGAAACAGTTTGGGTTTTGAAAAACAGCCTAGTATTCACTTTTTAAGAAAAAAAAAATCAATCTGGTTTTATGTCCCTACTTCCTAATCCCTTAAATAGTTTATTTTATTTTAAAATATAGTTTAGTTTATTTTCTTGTTCTCTCAACTCTTTAGTTAGCTCATATGAAGCTTAGAACAGTAATCCTTAGTCCCTATATTGTCTTCTCTTCTTACTACTTTGCCCACATTCCTCTCATTCTAGCATTCATTTACATGTTAATGATTTCACTTATGGACCCGAAAAATATTTCTTGATTGTCTGGTATATGTCAGGCATTGATTCAGGCCCTGGAGACACCATGGTAACAAGATCTGAGTGAATTACATGAGGCTGTTTTGGAAAATGAATGTTTAAACGTTTGGTTATCATCCAATACACGCATGTACAGTCTGTCCTTCAGAACGAAGATTCTTTTGTTACATCTGTAGGACACACGAACACCATACAGTTTTTGCAAAGAAGTATTGTTCTACGATTTGTACAAATATTAACCAATTTCACCCTCCCAATGATCCTCTGGCTCAGCGTAAGCACCTCCATTTTCAGATGAGTACCCCAAGCCCAACAGGCATGAGTGACTTCTTTAACGTTAGTCAGTGGTGGTGTTGGCCTTGACCCAGGCAGTCTGGCTCTGGCTTGCTTTTTTCTGACCCCACTGGGGCTGAGGCCTCCTTAAGGTTTTCTTCTGACATAATGGAATTTAAAACAGCAGGAGGCAAGTAGAGGCATTTGCTGGAAACAGAATCGTGTTCCAGAGAAAACTGGCAGCAAATATTGCTGATTGGCTGCCTGATAAGGATGGAATGGCGTTTGGAGGATTTCATTCTCTCATGAAATAAACATGTGATTTTGACCTTCCAAAAGTGACAGAAACTATTCTAAGCATCCCATCTTTATTTCCCCCTCTCCCCCCCCCCCCCGCATTTCAGCCTTCCCTTTAGACTGCTCTCCTGGCAGAATCTTGCTCAAAATTGGCTGTGGATGTCCCAAGGGCTGGGACACATACAAACTGAGAAGCAGGGACACATCTGTTTGGGGACCAGCAAAAGGACAGCTGAGCTGCTTGCAAAAGCTAAATTGTATCTTGCACAAAACTCCCTAGCCTTTTTTTTTTTTTGTGGGTGTAGGGTCTGAAATCCAGAAAGGTTCAATAAGATTTGCCAAAAACCACAGAGCTGAATTCTAAAATCTTCTATAGGCTCACAATCAAACTGGTCCTAGTGCTGAGTGAGCCCCCTGTCTTGGATGTCATGGTCCTTGCACACATTACAGGAGGAGGAGGAGGAGGAGGAGGAGGAGGAGGAGGAGGAGGAGGAGAAGGAGGAGGAGGAGGAGGAGGAGGAGGAGGAGGAGGAGGAGGAGGAGGAGGAGGAGGACACACATTGCACACATTACACACATTTCTAACCACTGGGAGTGGTTAGAAATGCAGACACTCAGGCCCCACCCTGACCTGCTGAATCAAAATTTTTGTTTTAACAAAGGCACCAGATGAATTTTGAAGTTAGAGAAGTGCTGGAATGGTCACTAATTCCATTTTCTAGAATTTTAATTGTGGGGGTGGGAGTTACTGTTGACTCTATATTCATTAGAAGCACACCAATCTCTTGAAAAGGTATATTCTCAGCCCCATCTGGTAATTTAGCCTAATATTATCTTCACTTTGTCTTATGGTACATCTAGACTTTTTAAAGATCCAGTCAGTCCTTGGTGAGCATAAGTTAATGTTTCAGATGCAGAAAACTGTGTTTTCATGAGACCCAGAAAGAAATGGCCAATAGTCCCCTATCTTTACACTAACTCATGCTGGTGTCTTTTTCTTCAAAGCAAGTTAATTACCTTTGTCAAATCCCAGCAAGTCCCTTTAGCTTAATGAACATGCTTAAATCTCAGCCCAGTTCCTACCCAAGGTAACATGAAGTAATCAAAATAATAATAGTAACAGCTACTACTTATGTGGTGCTGACAATGTGCCTGATGCTGTTTTAGAAGCTTTTTTTTAAATTTCTTTGATTAAGGTATCACATATTTGTCCTCATCCCCCCATTCCCATCCCAAACCCCTCCCCACGTATGACCCTTGTTGTCCATGACCACTGGTTAGGCTCATATGCATGCATACAAATCCTTTGGTTGATCTCTTCCCCTTACCCCTACCCTCCCCTCTCTTCCCTCTGAGGTTTGAGAGTCTGATTGATGCTTCTCTGTCTCAGGGTCTATTTTTGTTCATTAGTTTATGTTGTTCATTATTTCCCCTAGATGAGTGAGGTCATGTGATACAAGAAATGAACTTATATAAGAACCGAAAATGAGACAAGCAATAATGGTTATTAATATATAAAAAAAACCTCACTTAATCCTCTCAAGCAACCCTATTTGATGGATGAGAATACCAAAACAGAGAGGTTAAGTGGATTGTCCAAAGCCACATAGCTGCTTCACGGTGGGAATTCTAATCCAGGCCATCTGTTCCAGCACCCATGCTAGTACCCACAACAACACATTGTTACCCAAAATTCAAATTCATACTAAACAGGGTTGGAAGAGTTCCTTATTAAAATGCTCTCGTAATAAAAACCATCATTGACTTAGGAAAATGTAATTCACTTCAACAATTTTACTCAACAAAAATAAAAAAAACTTAGAGGTCAGCAGCTATTAAGACATTCTTTTACAAAGTTAAAATATCACTGTTTATCTCTAATTCTTGGTTGTGACTGTAAGACTATGCAGTCTGCTGCTTGCAAGTGCTTGAAGCGTCCTTGTGCCTGTAACTGGAATCAGCTCTGACATTAAAATGCCATTGTGTTTCCTATAAATGAAAAGCAGTTGTGAACTCGGAGGATTTATGATATTGCTGGCTTTGCTTGCCTATTCAATCAGTGGTCTCATTTCTCTTTTTAGCTGCAGATAGTTCAACACTGTTTGTCAAGGAAATGTTAAAGACAATTCCACAAAGCCTTGTGCTCTGGTTAAAGTGGAGACGGAGGTATTTCCCACCATGTCCCTAGAGCATTAGAGTCCTGGAAACACGGAGTGAGAAGCCCCGTAGGAAACAGAGGATGCAGCTTTTCATGTGCATGAATTCAGCTCTCCTGAGGCTTCCCTGACTGACTCCACACACAGCTACGCCCTTTGCCATATACCAGAAAGACCCCACAGTATCTGAATTGTCCTCTGTGGCACTGAAGGGAAGGAAACTCTCGCCATACCGCTGGAAAGGGCACTGCCCAGTGATGAAACAGAAACGAGTCACAGAAACACAATGAAGGGTCATTTTCCCAACTGCAAAGTACACGTACAGAGCAGGCAGATATATTTACTTAATAGGGGACACAGTTTGATTCTTTTTTTTCCGGTTATTTCTGTTTGTACTGGAAACACAAAGCAAAATAATGCACATGCCCAGGCCTGGTACAGGTAGAGAACTGTGACTATAGTGTAGGAAATACAAAATCCAGAAGTCCCAACCAAAAATCCTCTTGCCCATGAAATGCACCCCACTGAGTGGTTGGCTAGAAGCCAGTGCCAAGCCATTGTCCCTGGGAGTGTATCTAAACAAAATTTAAGTTTATATAAATTAGTGTGCGGTTTGAAGTCCTGGCTGCCCACAGAGAGAATGGCAAAGTGGTTCCTAATTTCTTTTTTATGTTATTGATTCTTTACAGAGAGGAAGAGAGAGGGATAGAGAGTTAGAAACACCAGTGAGAGAGAAACATCTATCAGCTGCCTCCTGCACACCCTCACTGGGGATGTGCCCGCAACCCAGGTACATGCCCTTGACCGGAATCAAACCTGGGACCTTTCAGTCCGCAGGCTGATGCTCTATCCACTTAGCCAAACCGGTTTTAATTTCTTGATGCTCTCAACTCCTGTTGGCATGTGTGAAACTGGGTGTCAGGGCCCCTACCAGGTCCCCTGGGATCCCATTTCTGTACCCCCCACCCCAAACTCAATGGCCATGAGTAATGACTTGGGGTAAAACAGCATGAGAGCCCAGCTGCCTAGCACTGGGGTGGATCAGGACAACTTGGAGGTGGATTGATCCTTGAGTTCCCATCCTCTTTGGGACTTAAGATGATATTCTTGCTTGGCTCATGCCCTTCCGTTCCTGGTTCCTTTTACTGTCCCTGAAGGGAACTTCCTTTAAAATCAGTTACACATGAATTCTCATCTTGGGTTTGCTTCTGGGAAACCCTACCTAAGAGACTACTCTATGCGGCTAACTCCCCAGCTGGATGCTACTTCGAACTTGGCCTCCACAGCAGCAGTGTTCATGTGCAATTGACATAGTACCTAGCATACCCTTTTCCTATCACAAATCTATCCATAATCTTTAGCCTCCATTGATCTTACGTGATGAAAATGATGGGAACCTAAGCTGAAATATTATAGTCTTGGTTAAGGAGAATGTACAGGTATGGGATAAATAAAAGTTCAAATTAATTTTTAAAAAATCAGGGAGTGGAGCTGGTTTTGGTTTTGGTTTGTTTCTTACTATTGGTGATCTTGTAGTTCCCAGGGGCTATAAATTGCACAATAAACTAAAGGAAAGATATTAAATCTGCACACAATATTAAGATATACCTTTAAAATCACTTTTTGACCACATTTTTAATATGAACTTATTTTCTTATAATTTTTTCTAACTCTCTGGGTTTTCATGTGGCAAAAATTCTGGGTCCCCTTAGGTTTCACTTATTCTGACACCTCTGAAGCAAGTCCATCCCATGAACTGTGGCACATGAACTGCGATAAACACAATGAGAGCTAACAATCTGGATGTGTCACTGAGCAACTCAGTTTTCCCAAACACAGCAGCAGCCTGTCTTACCTTTACTCCCAGGGCTTCTCCAGAGATGACAGCAACTGTCACACCATCCTTACTGGGTTTAGGAATTTCTTTACTTTTCAGTTCCTGGTACTGAGGCTCTACCATCTTCTCTGAGCTCCTCAAATTAACCCATAGTTGTAGGCCATGGGCTGGCTCCTCTGAACATGGCATCTCGGCGTGAAGAATGCCTCGGCCTGCAGTCATCCACTGCAAATACCAGATCAACAAGAAGGAAATGTCACTCAGACTTGAATAAGTCTGCAGGTGGGACCATTATGACACAGTAACTAAGTGAGGTACCTTACAAGTGCTTCTTTCACAGTCCTGGGCCTTGTGAGGAATAAAAAAACAATGACAACTGCTGGAATCTTTCCTAGTTTTCCCAATGTATCAATGTTTCTTATTTGAAATCAAAGCATCAGATCTGAAATTTATACGAATAGGAGTCTCTCTTTAGTATCCTGAGCCTTCAGCTAAGCACGGAGATGGGGAGATGCAGGCAGACAGTATATTGGGAAGTGCTCTTGGGAGCACTTTAAGAAAAGAAAAAAAAGCATAACTTGGGCAGGGGAGAAGCCAACCAGTAATACAATTACAACAAAGGCCTTAGCCAATGTAACAAGGAGGTTTAAGTTGAATAAACCTTCAGAATTGTCTCAAATTAAGATGAGGTAGCCAAGTTATTTTATCCCCACGTCAGCAAACCAGGGATTGTGTGCCAACACCCCAGTAAGGAGCACGACCTTGGAAGATGCAGTCCCTGCTGCAGAGGGCAGTACCCAGGGTGGGATGCAGTTGCGAGCCATCAGCAGCCAATATTCACAGTAGCTGGAGAATGGATAAGTGCAAGGGCCTCAAGATACATGTGCAGGCTTCACAGTATCCACTATATCAATGGTTGGTAAACTCATTAGTCAGCAGAGCCAAATATCAACAGTACAACAATTGAAATTTCTTTTGAGAGCCGAAAACTGACTTCTGCGCATGGGTCGCGAAGTTTCAATCACACTGTAAGTGTGCGCCCGCATGTGGTATTTTGTGGAAGAGCCACACTCAAGGGGCCAAAGAGTCATATGTGGCTCATGAGCCGCAGTTTGCCGAACACTACATTATACCATGGATGGGTGACTTGAGTCTGTTTGCTCAGTTCCAGTAATGGAGCCTTCACTACTTGGAGAAAACAGTCATTGTCTCCACTGTTATGCAGATTCTTCAAATATTCATTTGTTTCTTTATTAAGAGCATATTGGGGAAGAAGAATGGAACATGATAGATTTCCTGCCTGTCTTAGCTTGGGTTCTCCCACAGAAAACCCTGAGACAAAGACTTCAGTGCTGGTAGTTTATTTGGAAAGTGATGCAGAAAGCACAAGCAGGGAAGAGCGAGCTAGGCAAGGGAGAAAGCCAAAAGGGGGAGTTAAAGAGCAGGTTACATCTGTGGGTACCTGGAGCTTAAGCCCACTGGGACCCACACAGACATTCTTTGTAACCGCTGCATGGAGGGCAGAAGAATCACCACTTTCCTGGTCAGGGCGCAAGCAGTCATCATACAGACTTTTCAAGGCCATCTCCATTTTATATTCTGCGCCAGTGAAAGGTTACTGTTAACTTTTGGTCACAACTCTATCCTTTTGCTTTTCCCCCCCTTCAAATTCCATGTTCATTAAAACACCATGAGTCAAATATTTGCAGTTATTAATCTGCCAAAAATGTAAATGATCCCAGAAAGTAGCCGATACAGAGTTCAGACTTACGAAACCTGCAAAGATTGCCCAAGCATTTCCTAGAGATTTTAAATTCTAACACATCTCAGACAAGACTAGGATGGTGTCAGAGTTTGGGTCATTGTCTTAAGTGACAACACCTACCCCTTCAAATGAGCTAGACATAAAGGAGTAAACTGTTTCAAGTATAGCAGAAAGGTCTATGAAGATGAGGACTGAAACTGAATGCCGAATTTGGCAATTGGGACATTATAAGTGACCATAACCTGAACAGCTTCCCAAAATGTGTGGGGATTGCTGAGAGGTCGATGCTGATTTCAAGTGAGTGAAGAATGAAATGGAAGTTAAGGGAAGTTGAGACAGACACTATTAGGTTTTTGAGGAATGTAAGCAAGAGAAAGACTAGGTGGGAATTAAAACGTGATTGAGGGAATCAAGAAAAGTATGAAAGAGGTATCCAAGAGACCTGTGCAAATTTCCAGGTGTGAATGTACGGGCAGTTGGCAAATCAAGCATGCACACCCAATGACTAGTAAACTATTGGCAATTCCTTGTCCTTAGCCATACCTGCAGGTCTCCTGGGTTCAACTGACCAACGTGTCCACAGAAGTCTTCATGGGCCATGCTGCCCCCTTCTAGGAGGTACGATACCTTTGAAAAACAAGCAGAAGAAAAAGTAGGTGTTGGATAGCTGTGAAGAGTTGTCTAATTTTACCACAGAAAATAGGTTGAAGAGAGTTTCAGGAGTAATTAAGGAGGGCCAGCTGAGGGCCATGCTAGCCCACACAACGTCTTTGAGATAATTTCATATAGGAACCACCTCCCTCCAGCAGAGACAGACCTGGCATGTCAGCGCTCACAGCCCAATGAGAGGAGCCCCACTTAACCCCTTAGTCCCATAGGCCATCGCCCTGCCATGGTGGATCCTGGAGCTCAGGGTGTAAGAGAAACAGTTCCTGTTGAAACAACAGGGGCCCAGTGACCAAAGCCACATCCACCAAGGTATGCAGGGTGACAGACCTAAAAGCTAACTTGAGAACACTAAAGGAAATGTATTTCTGAAACCAGGCACATAAACTCACTAAGTACACAATAAATTCCACATTTCAAAGAAGCAGCCCAACTACCAGGAGCATTGTCTTGAATTGCTTTTCTTTTCCTGTTATGCATGCATTTTTAATGAAAATAACTTCATAAAAAAGGCAATTTTCATTGTTTTGACTGAAACTCTCCTTTCGGTTCTCAAAGGAGTCTCTTTCAAATCATATTTGTTCCATCCCGAAAGAGTTTTCAATTATCCAAGTTGAGGGGCTTTCAAGTTGTTAATCATCTCAAAATATGTCAGGCAACTTTATAAAGTAAATTATGAAATTATTTCATTTAAAGATGGAAATATACGTGGACACCAAGAGATATGTTGTGTGTGTGTGTGTTGTTGGTACTTTGGTTTTGGTTTTGCAAACTTTATTTTAGAAAGCAATCCCAACATTGTTTCTAAACGATTGAGAAGCCAATTATTCCTCTTTTCCTCTAGTTTTGAGGTGGGGATTTCTACTTCTCTCTGGTAATACAAAAGTAAACCTCACTTCTCCCATCCTAAATATCATGAATCTGAATTAGAGAAGTCTGGCCTATGAAAATTTGCTGAGTCTGCAATGCCTACCTTTGACTACTTAGAGCAAAAACCATACTTTTAACCTTTGGGGGGAAATCCAAAACCAAAGAAATGACTGACTCTTTGATTATCTATCTTTCAATTTATTTATTTTTGCTAAGTGCTATAAATGCTATACTGATGTCGTAAGTCTAAATTAATGCCTGCAAATATTTTTTTTTAAATCTCAAGCAATACTTTTTGAGTTGACACAATCCAGATGATTTTTAGGACATTATGTAATTGCAAACACCTGGAGAATTGCCATGGGTGGTTGATGGACTTGGGAGTGTTATGTTTAAACTCAAAGTGTCTAATTAAGTAAGAAATGTGTAATCGGAAACAGGTGTTTTCTTAAAGAACTTGTCATGCTTCCTCATCCTGCTCATCTTTTCCTCCTTCTAGTCCTAAACTGCTCATGGGTCTCTACTGAATACTTTTGCTTCTTTGTCTGTTCTTATTTCTTCTTGTATTTTGTGTGATTGCATTTGGAGAAGGGCACAAACCCCACAACAATAAGGAGATAAAAGTGTCTCTTGCAATGTGAAATTTAGGAAAGGTATACCTCAAAGGCATTCTGCTATAAATTCAGCAGAATTATGGAACAAGATATCATAGTTTGTTGTTTCTTTCTGGCTGGTATTCAGAAGGAAGAGTGTGATGACCTGATTTGATATTATAGATGCAAGGTTTATACTTTAAAGCAAAAAGTCTATGTGGTAGATAAAACTATGTTTTCTTTTAATTTCTATTTGTCCTCACATGGTGGTTGTTCTCTTGGTAGCTGAGTAGGAAAAGGAGGGGGGAGGAACACAAGTTGAGTTCATGGCTGATGAGAAAGGCCCAAATATGAGGTTCTGATGATCATATTCCTGAATCTAACTATGTAGGTGAGCTGCATTGCAGACTCCCTGAGAACCTTCCTGCTTCTAAAACCCCAGAGCCCTTCCTTTTCAAACCCCACTCAGGATTCAGTCTCTCAGGGAATCTCCTCAAACTCCCCGTGGCTCCTTATGTAATCATCAGGCCAGCTTCTTAACTGATATATATAACTTCTAAATCCAAAGTCAAGGTGTACACATTCATTGTTTTATTTCCATGGTTATATTGAAGGAATCTCAAGAAAATGGTTTACCAACCTCTATGATTAGCCAAATTTCTCACATACAAAGTGTTGTGTCTGCACCCAAGGGGAAAGTGGTGGTTAAAAGTACTTTTGTTTAAGGGTGCCCCCTGCTGATCCTAAATGTGTGCGCAATATTTTTCTGCAATCAGATCATGTGTCTCTGTGGCAGGTTGCCATTTAGACAGCAAACGGTGAGCCACGTGGTGGTGTAGAGGGAGGTATTTCTGCTCAGCAGTCTGTAGTTAAAACAGACACTAGAATGAAGTGCCTGAATACACTCCCTTGCACACATGGTCCCAGGCAGGTTTGGGGCACACAGAGTTCTTACAAAGAGAGAGAGGTTTTAGGGAACTATGTCAAGTCCCTTCTTGTTTTAATAGTTTGTTAAAATTCCATTATAATAATATTTAATTAAGTAGATGATATATTTTGATTGGTGCATTATTATTATTCTCTGATTTGATTAATTATAAGGATTTAATTTCTCAGACTTTCAGTCAATGTGTTCATTGTACTTGGTATTATTGGGCCACAGTTCTCAGAAATTTGGACTTCAAGAAGCAATAAAACATTTTATAATAAAGGAGTTTGAGCCCTGCCAGTGTTGCTCAGTGGTTAAGTGTCAACCTATGAACCAGGAGGTCACGGTTCGATTCCTGGTCAGTGCCCATGCCTGGGTTGCAGGCTCAATCCTCAGTGTGGGGTGTGCAGAAGTAGTCAATTAATGATTCTCTCTCTTCATTGATGTTTCTCTCTTTCCCCCTCTCCCTTTCTCTCTGAAATCAATAAAAACGTCATAAGTGGAAAATTAGAAAAATGAACACAATGATCAACACTTGCCCACCTAGGAAACACTAAGAAAATGTGCAGATAAAAGACGTGAATACTAAAGAAGAGTACATTATTCCCAATGGAAACCCAGAAAAAAGATTAATTTTGATGAATAAAAATCTGGAGGAATGGGGGATTAATTCATGGAGAAGGCAAGACCCCAGCTGGTCCTTAAAAGATTGGGATATTGGGGGAAAGCTGGAATGGGTGGGGCAAAAGGGTAAATAGAAGGAGGAAAAGAGTTTTCAGGTTATAATAAAAAGGCATAAGCGATGAAAGCACAATTTTATTTATTATGTTGTTACCGCTAACAATTTTGTCTGCTGTGGCTACAAGAAGTTAAATGATTGTCCTTAAATATCCAGGAAGCTAACCAACCTAATCCATGTCCTCATTATACTGGGAGTTCAGAGGAGAAGTGAGAGCATTACTTTGCACTGACAGGCAGGACAATTTGGAGCCCTCAACCATGAACCGTGAAAGCATAGTGAGTGAGTAATGGCAAGTCCCATAGTGAGTGAGTAATGGCAAGAGTATTAGGTGTTTCTCTAACCCGTTTAGCTCAGTGGATGGAGCGTCGGCCTGCGGACTGAAAGGTCCCGGGTTTGATTCTGGTCAAGGGCATGTATCTTAGTTTGCAGGCACATTCCCAATAGGGAGTGTACAAGAGGCAGCTGATCAATGATTCTCTCTCATTGATGTTTCTAACTCTCTATCCCTCTCCCTTCCTCTCTGTAAAAATCAATAATATATATAAAGAGTATGAGGCGTTTAGTTTGGAGATCTGTATAACCTGTAGAATCTAATTTGTAATACTAATGTGTCGATGTAATGAGACAATACCAGATGTATAGAAACCAGCATTGTTCTAGAAGAAGCAGGAGCATGAGAGAGTGGTGAGGCATGGGCCTGGGATCAGATGGGCCAGCCCAAGCCCGCCCTGTAGGAGCTGTGTGAGCTTAACAAGTCAGCAATTCTCTGAGCCTCTGTTTCTTCATCTGTAAAATAGGGGGCTAGCAATTCCTACTTTTCAGGGTTGTTGGTGAAGCAAAGGTAATGTACTGAAAGCATGTACTCATGAAACTGAGAGCTAATGTTATTGCATGGCAAATGGCATTCAAGTTTAATCCTGTAAGGTCAGGCATTTCATTCTAAGTGCATTGATGGATAACTCCAAAGCAGCTTAGCTAAAAGTATTGACTATCTGCAAGAAGCTTTTTATCGTGTAATGATCTATGTTACTTTATTGTGGACTTATTTTTAGTAGCACTTAAAAAATTATTTTAAATGTGGTGACATCAAAGAATATTTAATAACTGGTTGATAGTCTTTATTAGATTGCCTCCAATTTGTCTTCTTAGCTCTAAGAATGCAGTTTCTCAGACATAAAAGGTTTCTGTTTATAAACATTAATCAGGTAGGGAAAATTGGGAAATTTCTTAAGAATTTATTTGAATTACTTTCAAAGAATATTTCAGTGAAACTGGTATTTTCTCATGTAACCTATGCTCATTGACAGACCAGGGCTTAATTCTTTATTGTGGGAACTGTCTGCTCACTGTAGGATGTTCAGCAGCAATTCCTACCTCTCCTCACTAGATGGCAGCAGCATCCTCCAGTTAGTATGATCAGAACCGTCTCCAGAAATGACCACTTACAGGCAAAATCACCTTTAGTTGAGAACCACTGACATAAGACAGTCTGAAAGCTAAAGCTAAAGCTAATTTAAGATGATTGGATTAATTTGGGAGTTTCAGCATATACAATTTTGGCCATCCATTTATAAATAAAGAATGAGTTATGCTTTCAAGGCTGTCCCTGGTAATGGTTCAACCTATATAGCCTTAGGTCCCACCCACCATACACACATCCACTTTCTAAGTCCAAATAAACTACTCATCATTTAGTCTATCCCCAGACTATGCCCTCCATCTTTACCCCCACTATCCAGAGAATCATAACTAGCTTATTTCTTAAGATTTTACTAAATGGCTAACATTTTCCTGAATCCCTCCCTGGCCTTTCTGTTAGAAGTGCCAG